CTTTGTCTCAAGTCTGCTAATTACCAGTGTTAAGAAATACACCACTGAATCTGGCCTAATTTGTAACAACGAAACAACACTGATTTCAGCTGCAGGATTTCTAATTTATCTCAAGATACTGATGGGAATCTATCCATATTTAGCTCTAACTACATACTGTAAAAAAACAAGGTATCATTTTGGAATAGTTCCACTTAGCCTATAGTGCAGGTTTAAGCAAAGGTAAACCTAGGTTTTAGCTGTAGACTGGAAATCCTTTTCCATCCATATAGGTCTAATGAAAATAGCAGACATCCTGCATTAATAGCAATTATTTTACAGGGTTTTCTAGAAGCAGGGTCCAACTTTTCAGCTCAGCATTTTGCCCCCAGTAGGGCTGGAGACACTATAAGCACACGTACTATCCCTCAAATAGTTTTTTCCACCAAAAAGGAAGATTGTAATTAAAAAAAAACACATTTGGAAGAGAAATCCAGCTGAGGAGGGCCTGCAGGCTTCAGTGAGGAACATCTGTTTACTTCAGTAAAAATCTAATGTTTCCCAAAGTTTTCCGTTTGTATCTCCACTTTGGAGGCTTCTTGCATGTCCTCAATGCTTACCACATTTTTGAACTTGTGAGCTGAGGACAAAACTGCCATAGCTTCAAATACCCAGTACTTAGCCTGAATGAAGTCCTATGGCCTGAATGAACAGCATATACTAGGAAAAGCAATTATGGGCTTCTGCAGTACTGTGGTTATTTTTCCTTCTATTTTAAGACAAAAATATAATAAGCTGTTTTGTAACAGTTCTTCTCACATAATAATCTTGCAAGAAAAAGAATCTGTAAGGTATAGAACAGTAAATTACTGACTCATGGAGGGGATTATATGGCACTTTTTCAGGTATAATGACAGACAAATTATTGCTATCCACAGTGGATTCTCATAAGTTAATATGTACATATGAACCTAACAGAATTTTAATGTGTTGCCCAATTATTTGAAGAATTGTGTCAGTAAGTTATTCTTAAGGTCATAAAGGTGTATTATTGAATGAATATTTGTATCAACTGTATATTAAATTTGAGGTGTACATCAAGACAAGCTTCATTTCTACAGTTAAATGTATTTCTTTTTTATTAGATTGCAGCAAAGAATGTTGGTTTCATTACAGATCTGTACTGCACAAAGTCCCTCCAAAGACTTCCTTCTCCAGAATTAAAACGATATTTGTACCATTTCCGAGAAGATGATTAGCATGGGGTCCTCACTCTGTTCTCTACTGTGAATTAATCTCTTATATCTGGGCAATACATTTTTAAATAAACACATGATTAAGTGTTCATGTGGTGAAGAGAACTCCTCAAGTAAAATGTGTTTGGGTTCAAAGACTCCTCACACCACCTTTACCATGTACTGTGCTTCCCTTGGCTTTTCTAAACCTTTTAACCCATGTCACAATTTAATAATCACTATTTAATAATTATAATCATTCCCTTATTAACTGGGTATTTCTTTTCGTTCTGCTAAGGCACCCCATGGCTCAAGACAAGGAAATCTCTTTGTTGATTAGTTATTTAAGACCAGCAACAATAACTATGCTGGAAAGAAAGGTGCTTTGAGAGGATTACACAGAGCTGGTTCTCAACAGCACCAAGCCGAGAGCAGCAAATTACAAACCCAAGTACTTCATTGCATGTAACCAAATTGGCTGGTTGAAATGCTAATTGCCTTTCAGCAAAGCTAAAGGCAGACAGGGGACCCTGTGCTTCAGAGAATGACGCGCATTTTTTACCCCACTTCTGCACCATTGTCTTGCTGAGAATTATTCAAAATCTATTCATAAAGGTAGCTCTTTTCCTAACCTTCAAAATTGTGGGAAATTTCTAAGGCTCTGACCAGTACCTCAGACCTGTTGGTCTGCCAAACCCGTAACAGATGGCTGAATTAAGGCCATGTTAAATCCTTAATGAAGCAAAGCTTGAAGCAATTCAGAGCAGCAACATATTGGACCAGTCCAGGATAAGTGACTGGGGAGAAGGAAGTTTCTTTTGCCACCTGAAAATGAGAATCATAACTAATAAATCCACACTAGATACCAAATGTGATTATCAAACAAAAATCTCCTGGTATATAAAAAGATGCTGTTTTAACATTCTGTAGGAAATTCTGCCTTCAACGTGCTAAAAAATCCACAAACACAAAAGCTGTGATGAATATGGAGAGCATCTTCTCTGTTGTTTAATTCTGACAGAGAAATTTAGCACATCAAATAAGCCTGCTTAAATAAGTACAACTTCATCTTACAGCAATCTTGGTTTGGACCTACCAATTATTTCAGTAAAAGGAATTTAAACAACTTTAACTAGTTTTATAGGAAATACTCATAAGCCAATCTATGAAACACTGTTTTTCATACTTTAAGTGTATTTCAGAATTCCCAGTTTCCAAATTCTTTCTGCAAACAGCCACAAGTTCTCATACATGGAGTAGACTCAATCTCGAAAGTTTATTGACACAAAGTATTTTCCAGTGAGAGTATTCACTCAAAGAATAACTCAGGCAAGTGAGGCTCTGCAGAAATAACTGCAAAGTGATTCAGTAACTTCTTCCAGAGTAAAAAAAGTTACAGTGGGTCCACCTGGAATAAGATAAATGGCCTCAATCATTGACTCCTCCTGTCAACCTCTGTTCTATCTGGGAAACAGTAATACAGCTCCTGTTAGACAGAATTTGTGGATTTCTGGACCTACCAGAAATGCCTACGATCGACAGCAATGGTGCTGTAAGCTGTGATTTGATGACAGAGATGTTATAAAGCATCCGAGTCTTAATACACATTGAAGGAAGGATTCAGATACTATGTACCCTTATTTCTAGTGAGAAAATGTTATATGCAACAGTGACTATACCTAAATCTGCCAGTCTTGCACAGCTAAATCGCAAGCACAATGTCTACAAATGAGTAAAATCAATCAATAGGATTACAAATGCAAAAATAGTTAGGTACATGATTATATCTTTAGGAGGTCAAGGCCTAATACTCCCTGAGAGAAGAATTTCAGCATTTTCTTCGTATTTTCCCTTGCCTACTGACATTTATTTCTTAGTGAAAACTGAAGTGACCCAATACCAAGCACACACTTGAAGGAGCTGGCCAAGAAAGAGAAAAATCAGAGAGCTGGGCTATCCAGCCATAAAATGGAGCTAAACTGCATCAGATACCCTATCTCAAATAAAAGCAAGAGTCAGACACACTGTTTACTGTTTCCATGCTTCCAGAAACACCTGAGGTTAAAAACTTCAGATGTCGTTGAGACAAATTTTAATTCTCCTTTTCTCTGAAGTGTGATGCACAGACATACTTTTCCATCTAGCATTCAATGAAACTTTCTAAAATTAAAATTTCGTTAAGCTTATAGACTATTGCTACGGTAACTGGTAATCACCTCATCATCACCGTGTCGCAATTCTGAACAACTATGATAGTTGTGCAGTAATACAAAAGATGATTTGTGGATCATCAATATTTTTCTCACAAATTGCCATAAATTATTTGTACCCCGTGGCTGAGATCCTTACAGACCTCTGTAGTGGTATTCTTCCTTAGTGCTGTACAGTAAAGGTATATGCTTTCACAGCTTTTCCAATAGTTCAGTTTCAGTCATCATATTCACATGTTAAGTGAAATGTGTGTGTAAGCATTTGCAGACTTAAGCATTCTTGGGATTTTTAATGGAATTCCGAAAGTAAAACCCCCCTTGGAAGATAATAAGTTTAAATAACAAAATTCCATGTATATTAGTGGATTTAATAACAGGTTATGATTTAAACCTGATTCAGAAAATTTCATTCAACTCAAGCTCACAGCAATTTCCAACTGAAGTATTTCACAGCAGGTTTGAATGCATAAAGATCAATCTCATTCACTAGTATCAGCTCTTTAAAATTCATCCACTATTCTTTTTCAGCCTTAAAAATGCAGACAGCACAAATAAACTGCCCAGCACTAGTTCTCACAAAAGCAAATATCATTTTTCCCACTGATTTCCATGTGACCAGGACACAGACCACAGCTACAAGCTAATAAGCAAGTGCTCCCATTATCGATGTTAAATAGTTCACTCAGATGCAAATTTAGTAAATACAATTGATTTCTTCATGTAAAGCCATTAAAACACAAAGGTGTATTAGAAAGCTTGTAAAGCACAAACTGTACCTTAGAAATCAATAACCATGCGAACATTAGTAATAACAACAAAACAGAAAATTAAAATTGTACACCCCTGAATACGTCAGCTTTTACATTATCAAAAATTTTGCCTTTTAATTTCTAAGCCAAATACACCACAAACTATTCTATTTCCTCGTGAATCTGGTTCTCCTTTATACATGGAAACACTGAATGCATTTAGCAGGAGAAAGCTTGTTTTAGGCTTAAGGGACAGATAGACTAAATATATCACATTCTGCCTTCAATTACTAAACTGCCCTCACGGCAGATTCTCAAAATACTTACTATTTAAATGAAAGACTCATTCTAGAAGATGCGTGGAAAGTACTATCAGAAAAAAAAACACACTTTCGGCTTCTATATAATGAATAAGGTTTTTTAAAATCACATGTTATTTCACTTCTGCACTATATAGCAATTATAGACCCATTAAAAAACAATGAGCGGTGTTTGGCAAGCAGTTCTGTATACATTTGATCTTAACTTTATCTGGGCTAGCCAGACTGAATTATGCAATGTCTTGTACAGAATCAGCATATCAAAATCAAGAAGTACAAGCAATACTTCCAACTGTAATCACTTACATGTCATATTCTAATTATTAACATGTTTAAAACTGATTCTTTATCAGATGAGGATTTGAAAAATTCATTCTTACTTTTAACTCGCACTCCTTTGCAATACATTGCATATACAGCTCCTCCACAGCTTTTATTTTCACACAGTTTAAACAGTCACATTAAGTTTTTGCGCATTTTTAAGTTAAAAATTGCCAGACAGGATACTCCAGACTGCATTTCCTCCCGATACTGTTCCCTGAGAACAGGATTTTCCATTGGAAAGACCATTGCCTCCACCTGCCCTGCTGTGCAGAGCAGAAAGAGGAGCTGCTGGAACAACAGAAACCTTAGCAGACTCGCAGCCAGCAGCCACTGAGCCACACGCTCGCTGTCTGCCGCTGGCTGAACCCTCTTCCCGCTGCAACAGGTGCTGCTGGCACGAACCCTCCATCGGACAGCGCACACCTCCGCAGCTGATACGGGATGCTTCCAAAGCAGCTCCCACCTCAAACAGAGAGACAAGAAACCTACCTGGACCTGGGGACATGGACATCCGCCTCTTCTGGACTCAGCCAGCCGCCTGCCCGCTCTCTGTCACTCACGCATTATGCATTCCCCTCTCCTACTCCTCCCTCCGCTCCGCGCAGCGTCCGGCACTCTCCTCCCTCTCCTGACTCCTGCTGCCTTCCCGCTGCTCTGGAGATAAAAGGGGGTGGGATACAAGAGGACAAAATTTCTTTCAGCCCCCAGCAATTGCTCCTGCAGTGCTGTAGTTGAGATAAAGCCAGCCCCTCCGGTTACTGCCTCGACAGCAACTCCACCTAGAAAGGACAGTGCTGTTTTATTACTGGGGGCAGTTTTATTACTGGGTTATGGCAGATTTTGGACTCAAGTCCTCGGCTGCACCGGGACATCTTAATTCACGGCTATTCAGTGCCAAGCAAGGAGAAACAATTTCCAATTCTAGATCAAGGGTTCTGGACTCAGCATTTTCTCTTACTTGTATCTAATTCATATTTTGCAGTCACCACCTTTCCAAGAAATTCCTGAGCCACAGCAGAGATCCAAAGATACAAAGGTAGCACTTGGATCTTCCTAGCATTTGCCCCCCAATTCTCCTCTTTAATGGTAAAGAAGTGTCAAAATTCCTACTTATCCAATAAATGTGGATGCATCTAAGACCCAAAGCATAGAAAATACTGAATTTTGATGAAATATCAATTAATCCCATTTACACCATCTTTAGTGTATTTCCAGCATATATTTTTAAGGAAAAACTTCTTTACTGTAAGGGTGCCAGAGCATGGCCCAGGCTGCCCAGAGAGGTTGTGGAGTCTCCTTGTCTGGAGAAACCCAAAGCCCTGGCCATGTTCCTGTGTGACTGCTCTGGTGATCCTGCTTTGGCAGGGGTTGGGCTAGGGGAGCTTTCCAGGTCCCTTCCAACTCCTCACATTCTGTGATTCTGTGATCCAGAACCTATGAGATAGGTACTAGTTCTCAACAAGTGGAAATACTATTGCAAACAAATGCAGCAACAGCAGCACAATTTAATGTAGCTGAATCCAGTTAAAAGCATAAACACTCCCACACTCCCTCCATCTCTCATTTAAACTGAAACCATTCTATCTCATTTTTTAACAGCATACTGTATGTATGCTTTTCTATTCCAACTCCAAGAAAATCCACCTCCAAGGAAATCCAACTCAGTATATTCGTAGTCTATCACACTACACAGCCACAGAACAGAATTTCGAGCTTTTTGAATCCTGTCATTTTTTTGGGTCCCGAATCCTCAGACTGTTCTGTCAAAACTACTCCTAAGTATCTCGAAAAATCATGCCTCTGTCACAACTCAAAAGCAATTTAACCACCAAGATGCATCTAATGTAAAACCTGACAGATACGTTCTTTAAAATCCCATACTGCTTATTAGTATTGAACACAGAGAATCTATTGTAAATGCCTGTTTTAATACACATTAGCATCTAAGTATTTAGAAATAAATCCAACTGTAACTCTACCCTAATTTTAGATATTTATACCCACAGCTCTATTCCACAGACAGCACATTTACGGAAAGGGAGGAGGGAAATGTTAAGCACAAAACAGGATTCCACCCTGAATGAAAGCAGAATGATTTTTTACAACCTTTGCTGTAGTTTACTGAGAAGCCATGCATTTCAAATGAGCTTCTTTTGCGCTTTTTAAAAATTTATTTAGAAAATAACATATAGAAAACACAATCACAGTGACAGAAATCACAGAGAAGCAGCATTGATTCTGCTAAGGCTAATATAATCTTTGCATATAGAAGGAATGAACACAGCACAGAATTAGGGGAAAAAAATGACAGGATCTGGAAGATGCTGTGATTTCTGATGGCATTAACCTTGCCACTATATCAATACTGTCTTGAATTGCTGTGTTCACAATTTGGGAATATGTAAACAAACAGGAAAAGGCAAAGAGGATGCTAGAGAATAATGAATGGTTCTAAAAATTACTTGGTAAAAGTAATTTTTACAAGTCTCAAAAACCTCAGGAAGTATCTTGTTCGTAAAAGTAAAAGCAATGCTTCAAAGCAGGTATCAGTCCACCTAACATCAGCCATCCATCCTAACACAGTCCAATCTACCGGAACAACTCACTGAACTTAATAATAAAATATCTCTCTTTTTTAAGAACACAAAAGTCCTTTTTCCTTCTACAGAAACAAGCTGTGCGTCTAAAAGGAATTCAGGTAGATGCATATGGTAATCTGATCACTTCTTGCAGTAATCTATTCAGGTTTATTTATGGATACAATACTTTATTATTGATATTTATCAATATCAGTATCAATAACAAAGTATTTATATTGAATATCAGTACTTTATTATGCATTATTCCCATGCATCGGTTCTAGTGTTTCTGTACTGAAATGAGAGCAAGAAGCAGTCCTTCAAAGGACCATGCTATTAGCTGGTGCATTTTGCATCAGACAGAACTTAACGAACGAGCATGAGAGATAAGCAGCATGTTCTTCAATACCACACCATTATTATTTTTCTATCTCAGCCTCACAATCTAGATCCTGTACTGTTTTCTCTCTCTGGATCAACAGGTGGAAAACGTACTTGAGGTATAAGACTCTTTTTTTTTCTTTTATTCTATAATGTTGTTTCAGCTGATACAAATGACTTCATGTTATCCTTTTGTTGTTGGCTCCCACCAACACCCATTAAGCTGCTCAGTATCAGAGGGGCTGCCTTTATAGTCACCAGTTCTCAATTACAGCAGACCTGAGCACATTAAATGTTGCTAATTACTGAGCTAGAAAAAGAAGAGTCTGAAAACTTAAGACTTGCCCTCACTAATTCACATGGCGACTTGCATGGAGTCTTTTAACCAAACTGCACTCAGACTCAAAATGACTGCAGCTTTTGCCACTCTCTCCTACTCAACACATGATACTCCACGTTTTCTCTCGATCCCTGAGGATTTCCTGATTACTTTTTTTCCATTTTCACCATATCAGCCCAGAGACCTGTGCTTCTCTTTGTTACACATGAGGATGAGACCGAGCTCCCGTGGGATTTTGTCAGTGGTGGCCCTCAAGCAGCGGGAAGGTTGCTGGTGAACAACATGGGACACTCCATATGCACTTCACACAACTCAGCGTGGGGCTCACACAGTGCTCGCGCCCCTTACAAATGTCAGGGACAAAAAATGAGGCCTGGTCTTGGACCTACAATAGATCTGGCATTGCACAGAACTGTGCCTCCAGGTCAGCCTTAACTTCTCTTTTCAATAAAAGCAGTAAATAAGGTGTATTAAGAACAGCCCTCGTTCTTTGTGTGTTTGAATTTCTTTTGTTTTGAATTCATTAAAACTCCATGAGTTAAAAATGGCTTTGCTGCGGGTAAACAAATATTGAAAGCAGCAGCAATAGAATCAATGGACTCCAGTTTGTTTGTTTGTTTTGAAATCTTGCCTTTTCCCTTTGTTGGCATCATCTGAAAAGAAAGACCAGAGAAGGGGGAGTTAGAAGAAGAAACAAGTCCCTGAGAAGGAAAGCAAGACTTAAAGGAGCAAGAAGAAAAAGGAAAATGCAAACAAAGACCTTCAGAAGAGAGTATTTTCTCTTCTTGTCTACCTTTTTGTTTCTGTAAAGGCAGATTTTCGGGTTGTAAGAAGGTCATTTGGTTTTCAATGACAGGTATCCCAATCTTAATCTACTAATAGTAGAAAGCAAAAAATAAATGCTGACAATCAAATTTTCTGAAGATACAGACTAAACTACTAAGAATGAGGAACATTAAGCATGTGCATAGCTCTTTCGTAGATCAATCCTTAATTAAAACACGCCAGATGCAAGTTAACTTCACTTCTTGGCTGATTATTAATGAATCATTTCCAATATGACACAACACTTCAAAAACACAGGACACTGTTCTGATTATTTCTGGTGTACAGGCAGAACACTGCAGCTGATCTTGTTCCTTTCTTTACAGAGTAATCAACAAGACACAGATGACTTTCTTGCAAGAAAAGTGGATTTTCTTTGAAAAAAGGTCCATGGTGGTGAGCATTTCCACAAGACAGACCATTTTTATGAACATTAAAGACCACCATGAGCACTTATAGTCTTCCTTGTGCAGCTGTAGTTTGATATTTGATTTCATATAATTGTTGCTTGGCTGATGTCCAGGATGTTCTTTCTTATCACTTATCATTATCACTTTCTTACCACTTAACATTATCCCTCATGTTCTTTCTTATCACTTCCTCTCAATGTGGGAGCAAATCTAACTGGCAGTGCTGAAAGAAACACCAGCCAGAACTACAGAACATGATTGTGGTAGCATAGCCTTCAGGAAACTATGCTGAAAATCACGTTCTGAAAGAGGGCAGAACCGACCAAAGCTGACACCAAAGAGATGTGCTCGCTGTCTGCTCTGCATTACCAGGTTTCTGACCTCTGTCACATCGCAGTTCATGATCAAGCTTGTGCTGCCTGTTCTTCAAAATGTGAAATGAGGTTTCTGATTACTTTCTCGTTCCCATATAGCTGCACTCTCTGGAGACACCTATCCAGCTGCCCTGCACCAAAGAAATGCACAACCACTGTCAGGTATTGTCTGATGCCCCTGCAGAAGCACCAGGGACTTGCACTGCTCTCTTTCCTGAACTGCTCCACATCCTTCTTGATGGGCTGGGAATGCTTTATTATTAAAATCTTGACTTTACTGCATGGTTTCCTGATGAATAAACAAACACATGCAAGAGAGAGCACAAAGCAGACAAACAGCCCTAAGACTGAGCCACAAAATTTGAGTATTTTGCTTCTGACTCAGTGGTTTATGCCAGACTGGTTGATGTGCAGATTTATGTAGACAAATTCAGGTTTTGATCCTCTATTTTTCAGAGATGTCCAGAATTTTAGAAACTGACAAATGAGAACTTCTAAGCAGATTGTGTTCTTTTTCGATGGACAATCGTTAATTTGTTTATGCTTCCTGTGATCAGCTTGGCAAAGGTTAACCTTTCTGCGGTACAGCTTCAAGCTTCAAG